TTATTATGTTTTATTTTTATTATTTTATTACTTCCCTTCTACGTGACTTTACCGAAAGAACCAAGAAGATGAATCCCTGCAGTCACGAAACCTTTAAATCGAAATTTAAGGTCTGTACTGTGCACCTACGTGTACTGTAGGATGTGGGTGATTTTTTTTCTCTCCATTACAAGTTATGACAAACTGAACTTCCCAATCAAACCTACACTGGCTGTCATAATGACGGGCTTAATGAACTCTTATTAAAAGTGCGACAATCCTTCGGCGAATCAGTCTGACGAAACGCATGCTCGGTGATACGTCACGCTCTCTGGCTCATCCCAGAAACCATTGGACCGCTCGTTCATTTGACTTCGCCAACTCTATATATTTTTTTATAACTTTTAAAAGAAATACCAACACTTCACTCCGCATGAGCATCAAAGTGCGAGCGTGAAATCGCTCCCAACAAAGGTTTCTTACACACGACTTAAAAACCCTGCGAAAGAAAAGATAATTGTTCACAATTGCACGCTTAAGACTCTTTGAATTATTTACGGTCTTTCGTCAATCCACTGCTGGATTAAGGCCTCCCCCCCTCCCCACCTCCGCTACATAAGGTGAGATCTGCGGAACGTTTGACAATTTTTCGCCAGTGCGAGTTTGGAAAAGGTTTGCGACCTGGGACTAGTTTAGTTCAGATATCACTTGCCACTGATATGATCAAACTCATACGACGCGCGCACATCAACCAAAAATCGCAACACTGCACGACGAAATATCCGAACGCCAAAATAAATAAATAACCCCACACAAAAACACCATCGCAGACGCTGCCCTCAAACTTCCAACGAAGTTTGTTTCCCTTAGTCTGCGCGGTTTGCCACATTCGTTCAGACACGGGCAGGGCTGAACCTCCCCACCGGCACACCACATCCAGTATCCGCCTCGCTATGGCTGTGGCTACTTCGATCACGTGCCGCCCTGCTCCCAGACCATCAGCCATACCCCGAAACAAATATTTTCTCCGCAAGAAGTGAAGCCCCGGTTACTCTTCTTTATTTTCTTTAAAACACTATTAAGATCTCGCTTGAGCGTACAAAGCGGCCGAGTGATCTGTTCCATCTGTGGTCGCAAGTTAACCAGAACGGAGGCTCCCTCCATCACAGTCTTCGAAAACATAAGAAAAAATTCCCACATCTCTCCTCCTCCTCGTCTCACCAGTCAGTCTGGCACGACACAGGGCCCCAGGATGAGTCGTGCCAGGCGCTGAAATTATCCGACATCACCACGGTTAGGCGCTGGGCGAGCGATGCCTTACATCTTTCAAGTGATGTCCTTTCAAATTGAGCCGCTCGGAATAATATCACCCCCCACCTCCATCTCCCCCCCCCCCCCCGCAATTCCTGTGGTGCGAGGGAGAGAGTGTCCTCAAGTGATCTCCGGTTAGGTGGTCGTCGCTGCTGTGAGAGGCAGGAGTCTGATCTTCAGGCGACTGGAGAGCACATCTGATATCGATTTAATGATTTAATGCCGACAATTTATTTTCAAAAGCCAGACAAAAGCAGGGGGGGGAGGGGAGGGGGGGTTGTCGGCTGGGGTAAGAGAGAAGTTCGCAACAGGTAGCGTGCGCGAGCACCACCACCCACCCACTCCGTGAACGTGAATGTTTAGACGTTTATAAAACGTTAGCGTACCTGTGAAACACTAAACCAGAATCTGGAAAATTCACTTCGCTGATGTTGTTGTTGTTGTGGAGGACATTAATGCGTACATTAATAATAATTGACACATTTTTTTGTATCAATCCACTTCCAGATCAGAATCAGAATATTTATTTATTCCGGAGGAATCCGACGAGCTATGAAGCTCATTTTCCCCAGATGCGAATGAGAGTTTTTTCACGGCTTCCTCCCCACGCCGTGTTGGTGGTCATGGAGGATGTTTTGACCATACTTCACCAAACTGTGACGATTGGTGAATGGGGGACAAGCCCAGCACTGGTTCAGATGCCACTCGCCACGGGATAGTGGCCGTGACCCGAGTATAGGACTTATCGTGCCGGGTTGATTGCTCTTTACGTCAACCACTGCCATCACCGCTTCCCAAACCCCGATAGACAGGGCATAGCTTTAGGTCCCGTCTACTTTTCGATTGAAAGCTTTCGTGACTGCAGGGATTCATCTTCTTGGTTCTTTCGGTAAAGTCACATAGAAGGGAGATAATAAAATAATAATAAAACATAATAAAATAATACAATTCTCACGACGTTTCGGCCACAACGCAAGCAGCCGTCCTCAGGTGAAGAACAGGTCTGTTATCTCCCTTCTACATGACTTTACCGAAAGAACCAAGAAGATGAGTCCCCTCTACTAATAACGAGTTTATTTTCTATTGAGCCCCAGCAGTTTTTTTTCCCCCCAAAGGTTGTGTAATGGGTTTAAGATGAGTGCGTATGAAAAAGTTACAAATGTCAAACTTGTAACCCAAAGTGGACTCGGTGAAGGTGAAAATAATCGACGGGGGAAGCGTCGTGGGGGTTGACGACAGTCGTCAACGATGATGGACCAACACGGATTTTGTACGAATGATACCGTGATTATGAAACTGAAAATGACATTTCAACTGTCATTCGACACTCGTACAGAGTGTGATTTGGCAAGACGGGCAGACGTGACCTGGATTACAAAAACAACGACGAAATGGTAGAAACCAGGGGCTGTTTTTCAGGCGGGTTTTGCTCGGCTTTGTTTTTGCTCGTTGCAATGGAATACCTTAATTGTATTGTAACCATCACGTTCATCTTGAATCAAGACGCATGGCGTCTTGTTACCCACTCCCCCCCCCCCCCCCCCCCGGTTTCTCATGGCAAACACTCGTCCATTGCATCGGCCAAACATTCAAATAGATGGACGCTCATTGGAAGCGAGTCTCAAGCCTGAATGGGACTTAGCTGGATAAATAACCACTTAAAGCTTTCGTGACAGCAGGAATTCATCATACTCGTTGGGTATGCCGGTAAAGTCGCGTAGATAGAAAAACAATAATACAAAATCACGACGTTTCGATCGCGACGCGAGCCAATCGTCTTCGGGTGAAACAATTCAGCAAGCGGTTTGCTGAAGACGATTGCTTTTGTTGCGATCGAAACGTCGTGATTTTTGTATTATTTTATTATGTTTCTATCTACGTAACTTTACCAAAATGTATGGATACATAACGGCGACTACTCAAGCGATTAACAGGTGAAAGAGACGCGACTTGCGTGGAGAAATCCAGACGGCGCACACGAAAGGAGACGACACTCGAATAGTTTCGAACCTACTTGCTGTACTACCTCTGACAGCACGACAACCAATGCTTAGTCGGTGGACAATCACACTCACACATGCTCCACCTCCACCCACCCACAAGGCTGCTACTGTTTAACACGCGGTAGGGCTTTCGCGACCAATATCATCCATAAGAGTTTGTTTTGGGTTAGATCGAGTGAATATATAAATGTGTCGTTAAACCCGCCACCACCCGACACACTCTCCAACACACCGGTGTGCTGTACTAGTGACGAATTGGCCACGTTCTGTTTACGTGACAACCCTTACTAGTTGGCTGTGTCGGGTGGTGGCGGGTTTTGACGACACATTTATACATTGACGCGATCTCACCCCAAAAAGCCTCTATTACGGCTGCTACTGGTTCATCGCCATCACTAACTGCGGCCCGTCAAAAGCGCAGTGCACTACATCATCTTTACATCGCTGCCGCCTGCAGGAACCCGAAGGAGCTCCCGGCACGTGTGACGAAACGTCGAACATCACGCCGAACAAGACAACCCGAGAGCATCATTGGAGAGAGCTGTGCAGCGTGAATCGTCGTCGTCATCGTCGTCAATGACCACCACCACCACCACCACGACCGTCATCATCACACCACGACCATCATCATCACCACCACCACGACCGTCATCATCACACCACGACCATCATCATCACACCATGACCATCATCATCATCACACCGTGACCGTCATCATCATCATCACACCACGACCGTCATCATCACACCACGATCATCATCATCACACCACGATCATCATCACACCACGACCGTCATCATCACACCACGACCATCATCATCATCATCACACCACGACCATCATCATCACACCACGACCATCATCATCATCACACCACGACCATCATCATCATCACACCACGACCATCATCATCACACCACGACCATCATCATCATCATCACACCACGACCATCATCATCACACCACGACCATCATCATCACACCACGACCATCATCATCATCATCACACTACGACCATCATCATCATCACACCACGACCATCATCATCACACCACGACCATCATCATCACACCACGACCATCATAATCATCACACCACGACCATCATCATCATCACACCACGACCAGCATCATCATCATCACACCACGACCAGCATCATCATCACACCACGACCATCATCATCATCACAGCACGACCATCATCATCACACCACGACCATCATCATCACACCACGACCATCATCACACCACGACCATCATCATCACACCACGACCATCATCATACGCACGGATTCACTGACGGACGCACGTCTGTCACAGGACAAACAAAGGACAAAGATCTCCCGTATAGTCTCAACAAACTGTTGGGGCAAGTGCGTTTAGCGAGCACCTATGAAGGCCGCCACTGCACACGAGCGGGTGGGTGGCCATCACCACGCCGGGCCGCCTTTGTCTCCCCAGTGCTAATGTTTACACACCGCACCAGCTACTCATTTGAGGCCGAGTCGACCTAGGAGAGGCCAGGCACAGGCACGGCCGAGCCGCTCGAGCAAGCGGCTTAGCCCTGCCGCAGTCGATCGCGCCCCGAGACAGCCTTGTCCGTCATCGCAACACCACCAACAACACCACCAACACCACCACCAACACCAACACCCCACGCACCACGCAGCACGCCAGGAACACACTCAAGCTCTGCCGGCCACTCACCTGGCACGGGAAGCGTGGAGCTCCTCTCTCGCCTCTGCGCTCGGAGACTCGAATCTCTCTCCTTCTCGAGAACGCGCTTGGGATGCCCCCCCTCCTCCCCTTCCTCCAGACGGCGGTGAAAAGTTACGTCCAATAAAAGTTCTGCGGGCGTGGTGGTGGCGGCGGTGTGTGGAGGTTATGGCTCTGGTTGATTCCAAGAGGGGGCAGTCGTCCTAGCGGCTCGGCTCGCGTTCGACCCACTCACTGCGACGTCGACGCTGTCACGGCGAGGCGGATTTGGAAGTCGCCTCTCGGTGCGGGAGCCACGGGGCCGCTGCGTTGGTGCCTCCTTGTCCCGCTCTGCCAGCGAGCACTGCGTGTGGGGGGAGACTGGCTACCCACCCCCCTTCTCTCTCTCTCTCTCACCCACCCCCACCTCTCTCTCCTCTCTCGCTTACTCGCTCGTTCGTTTGCTCTCCCCTCCTCCTCCTCCTACCTCCCTTAAGTCCCTCCTTCCCTCCCCCCCATCATCATCACCACCACCAACCTCCTCCCTCCTCATCCTCTCTCTCTCGCTTTTGGGTTGCAGCTGGGAATGCCTCCCCCCATCCTCCCCTCCTACCTCCTCCAGGCACTGACTATGACACTGCCTGATTGATGTGCCAGGGGGCGGGTGGTGTGTGTCGGTAGGCATTCGGCACACAAATGCGGTCCTTTAGGCTTGCAATTGCTCTCACCTACCCCCCTTCTCACCCCCACAGCCTCGCCTCAACCCAACCCCCACACACGCTCAACTCACTCACACAAAGATCCCCCGGAGAGCCTTAACAGACTGTTGGGGCAAGTGCTGTTTGTTTGCGAGCACCTATGAAGTCCGGAATGGCACGTGAGGTGGTGGGTGGCCAACACCACGCCCGGCCGCCTTTGTCTCCCCCGTGGCGATGTTTTTACACACCGCACCAGGTCCCCATTTGAGGCTGAGTCGACCTAGAGGAGGCCCAGGACCGGTTCAGATAAGCGTCAATGGTGTTGGCCGTGAGCGGGAATCGAACTCGGGTTACCGGGTTCGGAAGGCTGCAATAGCTCACCGCTACACCACCACTCCAAAACAAAGACAAGGGTCCCAGTATAGCCTTAACAATCTGTTGGGGCAAGTGCTGTTAGCGAGCAGCACACTCCTCACAAACCCCCCATTGCACACCCCACACACCAACTCTCCCTCGCTGTTAGCCCATCGCACGCTCCACCCCACCAGTCACCCACCACCCCACACTCCACCCCACCAGACACACCCCACGCTCCACCCCACCAGTCACCCACCACCCCACAATCCACCCCACCAGACACCCACCACCCCACGCTCCACTCAACCAGTCACCCACTACCCCACGCTCCTACCCCACCAGACACTCACCACCCCACGCTCCACCCCACCAGTCATCCACCACCCCACGCTCCACCCCACCAGACACCCACCACCCCACGCTCCACCCCAACAGTCACCCACCACCCCACGCTCCACCCCACCAGACACCCACCACCCCACGGTCCACCCCACCAGACACTCACCCCCCACGCTCCACCCACCAGACACTCACCACCCCACGCTCCACCCCACCAGACACTCACCCCCCACGCTCTACCCCACCACACACCCACCACCCCATGCTCCACCCCACCAGACACTCACAACCCCACGCTCCACCCCACCAGACACTCACCACCCCACGCTCCACCCCACCAGACACTCACCACCCCACGCTCCACCCCACCAGTCACCCACCACCCCACGCTCCACCCCACCAGACACTCACCACCCCACGCTCCACCCCACCAGACACCCACCATCCCACGCTCCACCCCACCAGACACTCACCCACCACGCTCCACCCCACCAGACACTCACCCACCACGCTCCACCCCACCAGACACCAACCACCCCACGCTCCACCCCACCAGACACTCACCGCCCACGCTCCACCCCACCAGACACTCACCCACCACGCTCCACCCCACCAGACACTCACCACCCCACGCTCCACCCCACCAGACACCCACCACCCCACGCTCCACCCCACCAGACACCCACCACCCCACGCTCCACCCCACCAGACCCTCACCGCCCACGCTCCACCCCACCAGACACTCACCCACCACGCTCCACCGCACCAGACACCCACCACCCCACGCTCCGCCCCACCAGACACTCACCGCCCACGCTCCACCCCACCAGACACTCACCCACCACGCTCCACCCCACCAGACACTCACCACCCCACGCTCCACCCCACCAGACACCCACCACCCCACGCTCCACCCCACCAGACACTCACCGCCCACGCTCCACCCCACCAGACACTCACCCACCATGCTCCACCCCACCAGACACCCACCGCCCACGCTCCACCCAACCAGACACCCACCACCCCACGCTCCACCCCACTAGACACCCACCACCCCACGCTCCACCCCACCAGACACTCACCCACCACGCTCCACCCCACCAGACACCCACCGCCCACGCTCCACCCCACCAGACACCCACCACCCCACGCTCCACCCCACTAGACACCCACCACCCCACGCTCCACCCCACCAGACACTCACCCACCACGCTCCACCCCACCAGACACCCACCGCCCACGCTTCCACCCAACCAGACACCCACCACCCCACGCTCCACCCTACCAGACACTCACCGCCCACGCTCCACCCCACCAGACACTCACCCACCACGCTCCACCCCACCAGACACCCACCGCCCACACTCCACCCCACCAGATACTCACCACCCCACGCTCCACCCCACCAGACACCCACCGCCCACACTCCACCCCACCAGACACCCACCACCCCACGCTCCACCACACCAGACACTCACCACCCACGCTCCACCCCACCAGACACCCACCGCCCACACTCCACCCCACCAGACACTCACCACCCCACGCTCCACCCCACCAGACACCCACCACCCCACGCTCCACCACCCCACGCTCCACCACACCAGACACTCACCACCCACGCTCCACCCCACCAGACACCCACCACCCCACACTCCACCCCACCAGACACTCACCACCCCACACTCCACCCTACCAGACACACACCACCCACGCTCCACCCCACCAGACACTCACCACCCCACGCTCCACCCCACCAGACACCCACCACCCCACACTCCACCCCACCAGACACTCACCACCCCTCGCTCCACCCCACCGGGCACCCACCACCCCACGATCCACCCCACCAGACATCCACCACCCACGCTCCACCCCACCAGACACTCACCACCCCACGTTCCACCCCACCAGACACTCACCACCCCACGCTCCACCCCACCAGACACTCACCACCCACGCTCCACCCCACCAGACACCCACCAGTCCACGCTCCACCTCACCAGACACACACCTCCTCACACTCCACCCCACCAGACACCCACCACCCCATGCTCCACCCCACCAGACACTCACCACCCACGCTCCACCCCACCAGACACTCACCACCCACGCTCCACCCCACCAGACACCCACCACCCCATGCTCCACCCCACCAGACACTCACCCCCCACGCTCCACCCCACCAGACACCCACCACCCCACGCTCCACCCCACCAGACACTCACCACCCCACGCTCCACCCCACCAGACACCCACCACCCCACGCTCCACTCCACCAGACACTCACCACCCACGCTCCACTCCACCAGACACTCACCACCCACGCTCCACCCCACCAGACACTCACCGCCCACGCTCCACTCCACCAGACACCCACCACCCCACACTCCACCCCACCAGACACTCATCACCCCACGCTCCACCCCACCAGACACCCACCCCCCCACCCTCCACCCCACCAGACACTCACCACCCCACGCTCCACCCCACCAGACACTCATCACCCCACGCTCCACCCCACCAGACACCCACCACCCCACACTCAACCCCACCAGACACCCACCACCCCACGCTCCACCCCACCAGACACTCATCACCCCACGCTCCACCCCACCAGACACCCACCACCCCACACTCAACCCCACCAGACACCCACCACCCCACGCTCCACCCCACCAGACACCCACCACCCCACGCTCCACCCCACCAGACACTCACCACCCCACACTCAACCCCACCAGACACTCACCACCCCACGCTCCACCCCACCAGACACCCACCACCCCACGCTCCACCCCACCAGACACCCACCACCCCACGCTCCACCCCACCAGACACTCACCACCCCACGCTCCACTCCACCAGACACCCACCACCCCACGCTCCACCCCACCAGACACTCACCACCCCACGCTCCACTCCACCAGACACCCACCACCCCACGCTCCACCCCACCAGACACCCACCACCCCACGCTCCACCCCACCAGACACTCACCACCCCACGCTCCACCCCACCAGACACTCACCACCCCACGCTCCACCCCACCAGACACTCACCACCCCACGCTCCACCCCACCAGACACTCACCACCCACGCTCCACCCCACCAGACACCCACCACCCCACGCTCCACTCAACCAGTCACCCACTACCCACGCTCTACCCACCAGACACTCACCACCCCACGCTCCACCCACCAGACACTCACCACCCCACGCTCCACCCCACCAGACACTCACCCCCTACGCTCTACCCCACCACACACCCACCACCCCATGTTCCACCCCACCAGACACTCACCACCCCACGCTCCACCCCACCAGACACCCACCCCCCCACGCTCCACCCCACCAGACACTCACCACCCCACGCTCCACCCCACCAGACACCCACCACCCCACGCTCCACCCCACCAGACACTCACCACCCCACACTCCACCCCACCAGACACCCACCACCCCCCGTTCCACCCCACCAGACACTCACCACCCACGCTCCACCCCACCAGACACTCACCACCCCACGCTCCACCCCACCAGTCACCCACCACCCCACGATCCACCCCACCAGACACCCACCACCCACGCTCCACCCCACCAGACACTCACCACCCCACGCTCCACCCCACCAGACACCCACCACCCACCGTTCCACCCCACCAGACACCCACCACCCCCCGTTCCACCCCACCAGACACCCACCACCCACGCTCCACCCCACCAGACACCCACCACCCCCCGTTCCACCCCACCAGACACCCACCACCCACGCTCCACCCCAGCAGACACTCACCACCCCACGCTCCACCCCACCAGACACTCACCACCCCACGCTCCACCCCACCAGACACCCACCACCCACCGTTCCACCCCACCAGACACCCACCACCCCCCGTTCCACCCCACCAGACACCCACCACCCCACACTCCACTCCACCAGACACTCACCACCCCATGCTCCACCCACCAGACATTCACCACCTCACACTCCACTCC